TTTTTTTTTTTTTTTTTTTTTGGTCCATGACATTTTGTACCCACTGACACCAGTCAGGACAGTCGGGGACCGGTGATGTCCGGTGGTGTCCGGATCACCGGACAGTTCGGACGGGTCCAGACACTAGTCCGGAAGACAGTCCGGACGTGTCCGGTGTCTGGGTCCGCGGTTACCATGAGCTTTCCCTTTACTTTTCTGATTCTTTCTGAAGAAGGAGAAAAAAAGAGAAGAAAAGAAAAATTGGAAAATTGAAAAATTGCTTTTTGTTTGGAACAAACTGTCAGGTGCTGATATGACAAGTGAAAATGGCGCAGAACTTTCTTGTTTAAAAAAAAAAAGAAAAAGAAAAAAACAGTGGGGCAGAATGATGGCTTGGACTCCGTATGTTCAACTGACTAAGTTGATTGTTGTGGATTGTTTCTGACAGCTGGAGGCAGCAAGGCATTGGACAAAATGGGAAATGGCGACCAATCATTTAATGCCATCATTGGAATCGCGCAAGAGAGGCGAAAGTGACGACTTCGCGCTGGTAAACATCGATCTCTTCATTTTATCATCATCGTTGTGTACGTATCGATGTGGCATACTGAATTTCTCTTTCTTTTTGTCGGTCACTAGACTCACTACCATTGCTGAACGGATTTTTGAAGTTTGAACATGAAAAAACAAACTGAGAAAGAAGTGATTTTGGCTGTACAGAGTGGTCTTGGACTCTTGGTAGGGGGGCGCGTCCCTTCCATCCCTCGCCGGGGGTTAGGCCCAACCCTAGTGGAGTAAGGTTCCCCTGCAGTGCCTAGACATGGGTGGAGGCTGGCTCTAAGACATATAGGTAAGTAGGTAGCATGAGGTATAATTGAGAGAATAATATAGCTTAGTTTATTATTAAAAACAAAAAAAAAGAATGGGCCGTTCGTAAGGATGGCGTATGTAACAACCTGCAAAATTGAAACCTGAGCTTTCCTGAGTTCTTGCCGCTGCTCTGCATGTTTGCTGGATTCTCATTGTCTGAGTGTATGCATCCGGTCCGACTACTTGCTAATATCCAGGTCACACGTGTTCCTTGTGCTTGCCCACATTTCTGAGAACCAGAGTGTGTGTGGTGTGTGTAGCATGCGTGTGCCACATGCGCTTCGCACGAGCACGACACGTCATGATCGTGCTACTCCGACTAAAAAGCGTCGGCACACCGTGAGCAAAAAGCAAGACGCGGGAGGCGATATTCCAACGCGGCGAGGTAAAACCACTTGGTATGTCCATCTTGTGGTGAGGGTAGCCACGGGGCCGTTTATCGGGTGAAGTCGGCCAAACCTGCGCTAGTGGCGAATCAAAGTGAAGGGGGGTAGGGGTGCTTCGCATTGCAAGGGGGCAACGAACGAACCATCCATTCAGGAGAGAGGGGGGGGAAAATAAAAATAAAACGAAAGGACGACAATTTGAGGAACCGAAGGCAGAACACCCATTGATGACATCCACACATGGCAAAACTCGGATACGATAATACATTACTTTTCTTATCCAATCAACAGGATGCCATGCGAAAAACAACAAATGGAGAGAAGTGGGAAGGCTTTTAATAGGATAGGAATGGGGGAAAGAACAAGAAAGAGCGGGAGAGAGAAAAAGAAAAAAGAAAAAAAGAAAAAAGAAAAAAGAAAAAGAAAAAGAAAAAGAAAAGGAAATAGACATTGCAGGGGAGGGAGGGGAGATAATAGAAGAGAAGGAGAATACAGTCATTAAGAACCGAGCACTTTCATGAAAGCAATATTCCAGAGGGTCGAAAAAAAGTACGATCAGTTTTTATATCAACAAAAACAATTACAGATTTCATCGCCCACCTCACACCTCTGCTATCAAACAGTCGTATGGTTTCAAGGGGGCAGGGAAGACCGGGGGATGGAGAGGGAGGGGGGGGAAGGGGACCGAAGGAAGGGGGGGAAGGGGGGAGGGGGGGAGGGGGAGGGGGATATCCCGCTTCAGCTCTCTCCTCCAGATCCATCGCATTCCTGCAGCTGCACGGATCACTTCGCCGAATTGCGGGAAGGGCGTGGCAGCTCCCTGAAGCGCTTTTCTGCCCCATGCCACATGGGGCGTCATCAGAGGGGGGGACATCTTCCACGATCTCTGGAAGG